CCAGGTAAGTACCTCGCCACTCTCCTCCTTGGTCCCCTTCTCCCTCCACCTACCGGTAGAGCTCCACCATAGCCAAGGTGGAAGCTCCCGGCTTCTTCCTCCCAGCAGCGTTGTAGCAGCCAGCGCTCTTCCGACCAACGCTCCAGCAGTGTGACGCCCAACTCGCACACTGCAGAATGAGGCCGAGCTCTTCCCTCGGCCTCTTGATATAGCGGCCTGCTTGCCTCCTGGCGGTGACTTCCAGGCCGCTCGACCTCCCAAGCAACCGGTACCTCCTCCCTTTCGGAGAGAAACATCATTGCAGACTCTGATATTGCCCGTACAGGCTCTAGACTCAGACTGGATGGACTGGTACCGGCCTAGACCTAGCCTACCGTTACTGGGCCTCTAAAAACGCCAACTTTGTCTTCTTCTGCTCGGCCTCAAGTACCCGGCACATGTACTGCTACTGGGTGCGGTACCGGCCTACCTGCTACTTGAGTGTTTTTCCGCTGCTCCAAGCATCACGGGCCCCTGGCTCCGCTACTTGAGTTTTTTCCCTGCTGCAACCCTCAATGCCACGGCCACAAGTAAGTACCGGCCCTATGGGCCTGCCAAACAAGCAAGTACCCTTGCGGTTCACACAGACACTCATGTCGACAAGCACTCAGACAAGCACGCAAGTCAACAGGCACACACACATACAGACTTAGAAAACTCACCAGAATGCGGGAATCTCAGCAAGGCATCCATTCCATCGACAAAACTTCCTAAATCAGAAGTGTTCTCAGTCTATGTTATGATGGGTCATTACACTACCCCCCCCTCAAGAGCGAGGTCCCTTCGAGCGAGTAACTCAATCAGAGTCCCTGCATAATGCATCGTAAGCGTAAATAGCAAAGAGAGATCGTGTATGTTTCGTAGGAGTGAGGGTAGCAGTGAATTTAGGTTGCTGTTCGGAGCTAATCAGTCGTTCATATGCTTTCACGACTCGTGGGGCACTCTGCAGCAAGTCTTTCTTAGCGATTCAGTAAAAGTCATTCAACGGGGGTACAGAAAATTAACTTCGTATTGTCTGCTTCTCCCCTTTCCACTGTGCTCGACAATTCTATCAATCTCGTGTCCGGCATTGATTGCACGAGGAATCATCGATTCTCGATACGGAAAAGTTTCGGGTGGTTCATACGGAAACAACTTTGACACGTGAAAGACAGGGTACGTGCGCAGATGAGTAGGCATGTCGATCCACAACAGATTGGTGTGAAGTATGGTTAAAATGACCGTTTGGTTTTCTTATAAATGGGGGTGAAAATTGGGGGGTCGGTTAACCTTCTGTCTGTCGATCGTGTAAGAAGGACCAAAGGAATCTTCCCCTACTTGGTTCAGCACCTTCCACGGACCGTAATATTGAGGAAGAAGCTTCCGTGATACACCTTCTTCTTCAGAAAACTCAGACATTTTGACGCAGGCATAACTTCCCACTATGAAAGATGCAGGCTGGCGCTTTTTGTTAGCATGCTTAATCATGGCACTGCGTCACCTTTCCATAGCTGCGACAACAACTTTGAGCAAGCGATCAAACTTAGCATTGTAGCCTAGTTGGCTAGGTGTTAGGCCAGGCTAAGTGGCTGGTCAGGAAACATATAGGATAGGGGATTGCGAATTTTCCACCCAAGGTGCAACCGGTTAGGTGTCATCCCGGTGTAGGAGTGTATGGAGTTGTTGTACAACCCCTGCACAATCGGCAATTCCTCATCCCAAGAGTTCTGATCAGGCACAATTAGAGTTCGGAGAAGTTGGATCACGGTCTAATTGATCTCCTCGACTAGTCCATTGGCTTCGGGATGTCGACCAAACGTCATCTTGAGTTTGATGTCATAGATCTGGGAGGTGAAGTCCTTCCAATCTGCACTTATGAACCTAGTGTCCCGGTCACTCACAAGAGTTTTCGGGGGCCCATACTGCAGAATGTACTTTTTGTGAAACTCTTTTATCACAAGGTCAGTTGGGGCGTGAGGTGGTAATGAGATCAGATTCAGAAATTTTAAAAAGCGGTCAACGATCACCATTACTTGTGAATATCCGTTCCTGCTCTTCTTTCCCATATCCGTGAA